GGCTTCGTGAGCTTCGACAACCCGGCCAGCGCGCAGACCGCCATTCAGGCCATGAACGGCTTCCAGATCGGCATGAAGAGGCTCAAGGTGCAGCTGAAGCGGCCCAAAGACGCCAATCGCCCGTACTGAGCGCCGGCGGGAGCGTCCCCCGGGGGAGACCAGGACTCGCACAGGTAACCGGGGGCTACCGGGGTGTGGGAACGGGAGGTCTGGGAAGGGGGCATCAGACGGACCCGCCATCTTCTTGGGCCTTTGTGGGCCTGACCCTCATTTGTGCCTTGGACCCGATGCGCCTGGCTCAACCTGCTCCTTGCCTAGTGTCCACAGGACAGGAGCAGAGCTATGGTCATCCTGGCAGAAATGGGCAAGGTCGTCCCCTGTTGTGGGGCCAAGAGGAGCAGGAGTGAGGGAGTCATCTGGGAAGGTATACAAGGCCTACACTGGCAGTTCTTCTTGCCACAGACCCTGGGGTGGGCAGATGGCAAACACAGAGCTATAGCCACAGGTTGAGGCCTTCTCCCAGACTTCCTGGCTCTCCTCTCCCCAGTTCTGGGAAGGGCCTGCAGCCTTTAGTCCTTTGACCCCTCATCTCTCCAGCTGCCTGTAGCTCAGTCAGGACAGAGGGGGCAGGATTTTTCAACGGGAACTTTACCAGGAAACAAAACAGAATGGACCAAAAACTGGGGAGAGTTGATATCATAGCACTGCGGTCCCTTACCCTGTTACTTGGGTCATGAGTTGTCACCTCATCTGCTCAGGCTGGGGCCTGCTTAGCAGCTGGGAGCAGTCAGCCACTCGTTTTTCAGGCCAAATGTTCCTTCTCAGAGCCTTCCTGAGAAGGGCATATAGGGAGATGTTCTAGGCTACCAAAAGTCAACCTCAGCCAGTTTCCTTAGTGCTGTTTGCTACTGCAGTCCTCACAGACCAGAAATGGAGGTCACCTTTGAGTTCTACTGACTCAGGATGCTTCCCACACCCTGTTCCCCATCTATTCAGCAGTATGGTACTTTAGGAACTATTAGGGTTGCAGTGGTGACTGAGCCTGAGAAGGAGGGAGCTGACAATAGATTACCTAGCATGTCAGAATTGTTAACTAAAGTTAAATCATGTGGTCAAGGTGCCCAGGGCCAGCCTCATTGCAAGGGTGACATTAGAGCAAAGATGTAGCCTTTGTGTGCAGACATCCTCTTTCTGAGAACACAGCCAGTATGTAAGTCCCAAGGTGAGGTCAGGGGCAGTGTGGCCAAGGAGCAGCAGGGGGCCAAGGCAGGCAGAAGGAATTTAGGAGATTGGGCCAAGAAAATGGCAAGAGAGTTGTGGGTTAAGAAAGAATGTCCACTTGGGGCCTGCACACCATTATATGAACTTTGATCTCCTCTGAGATGGAGGGGGCATTGGAGAGTTCTGGTAGAAGAACTTGCATTTTGGCAGATCACTTCAGCTGTAGTTGATATCAGGTTGTAGGGGCTGAAGCATTGTCTTGTGTTAAGATGGGAGTTCCTCTGGAAATCTTACTAGGAAACTAAGGCAGGAAGAGTAAACAATAATGTCAATGTGACAGGTTCACAGCCAACAGTCGGAACACTCCCAACAAGGCTCTGCCCAGCTCAAAGACTGTCCCCTGAATCCCTTCGTGCCACCAGGTTAGCTAGTACATACTGAGCCTAATAGCAGGACAGTTCTCAGAATCCTTGTCCTGAGGTTTTGTGGGTTGGAGAAGGCATTAACCTGTGTGTCTGACTCCATGGGAGTCCTGTCTCCCGGGCCCTGGGCTTTGACTGTAAGTGTGCTTTTGCACAGTATCTGGAGTGAGCTTTGCAGGTGTAGGTGCCCCTCTCTGACCTGTGCATTGCAAAGCTGTAGTTTTGGGCCTGGGCCCTCTCTGGCTAGAACCCAGATGTTTTAAGACCTGACATCTGAATTGGTTGGGCCAGGACATAATTTCCTCAGCCAGATCAATGAGTTGGAACTTCCTTGACCTGATCTAAGCTTCCCCATGCTGGTCAGTGATTACTGCCACCTCCAGGGCTGTGTTCTATAGGACACCCCAGAGAGTGGCTGGGAATGGTTGCTCCTACAGGAAGAGGAAGCAGGTAGCCAGCTGTGCACATGCTGGGGAGGCTCCTGGGGGCTGAATGCTGCACTGAGAGTATGTGAGAGATGAGGATGTGTTCAAGAGAGTTCCCTACACTGGGTTTTGAGACTTCAGTTCCAGTGCTCAGCATGGTGCCTGGCACTGAGAGACTGGGGGAGGGAAAAGGAACAAGCACAGGGAAGGCGTGAATGCTTGTGAGGTACCCAGGACTGGTGTGGAGGGCAAGGAGGAAATTCCTCAGGTTGTCCCTTAGGTGCAGTTGCCAGAGCTAACACCTGATGGCAATACATTTCTAAGTTCCTTAGGCCTCTTTTCTCATACCAAAGGAACCTGCCAACATACTGGGTGGATCTAAGAGCTTTGGGGAGGGGTTGGAGGTGCAGAGGAGAGGGACATTTCAGGACTGGTGGGCATGTGATAGGCCTTTGTCTGGGTGAGGGAGATCTGATATTGGAAGGATAGAGCTCAGCTTAGGTGGGCAGACAGGACAGGGAGTCTATGGAGGGAGGGAGATTGGGGAGTGCTTCTGTGATGGCTGAGCTAGAGGCAGTGACTCAAAGTAGAGTCACTGCTCAGCTACTGCACAGCTTATCTATTATGACATTGTAAGATCCCAGGGGTCCCTTCCCATTCACCCTAATGGAACAAAAAACTGAAAGTGGAAATCGGCTTCATGGAGAGGCCTGGTAGATTGGAAACCCTGGTAATAAATTCTAGGCACGTAGGCTTTGGCACAGGCCTGAGTGCATAGAAGAGCACAGGATGAGGAACAAGCTCATGAGTAACTATGAGGTTGGAATTGGGGACCCCAAATCCTAGGGTGGGGGCAAAGGATCATGAGATGGTGAATGAGGGAGATGGCAACTCAAAGCTGAGTAACCTGATTTGTCTGATATAGAGAGGATCTCATTTCTCAACCATTAGGGCTCCATCAGGAGAGAAAATGATCAGACCTGGCCAGCTAGAGAGAGGGGGTGGGCTGGAAAGGGGAAGAGGAGTAGGATGGATGGGGCTCCGCCGAGCCAAAGTGAGAGCAGCAAGGATTGGAGATGCAGGGTCACTGTGCCACCCTCTCTGGTGTGCCACTCTGTGGTGTACCTGAAGCCTCCTTTGTGACCCTTTTATGGGTCAGAGCTACAGAATCTTTGAAGGGCTTCACACGCCCTGAAGCAGCCTCAGTTAGGCCACCTTGGGAACAAATCAAAGGGTATGAGGTAACCATGAAATGAAATTGTAGGGCCCCCCTAGGCCTGTTGATAGAATTCCAAGAACATAAGTATAATTTAGGAAATTTCAGAATGAAGTATTGTCATTTTCCGAAGGTTCTGAGGAAAAAAAGGTGTTATCAAAGTGGAGGGGAGGGGATCAAAACTCCCTTGTGCGTGCTCATGCCGCCTAGAGACCCCTTTCCTAGGGTGGGGGCCAAGGTGGGATCCACAGGCTGGAGGGCTGAGCTGCCGCTCGTAGTATACCATACTATGGTGGCCAGATGTCTCCTGTGGCACTTGCCTTAACCATCCCTGCCAATCAGGGTCAACCCCACTGGCTCCCACTGCTGATCCTCAGGCTGGAGCCACAGAAAGCCAGGGAGCCAAGGAGAGCTCAGCATCTGGGGGAGAAAAATCAAGGGTGTTAAAAGCAGAGAGCTTGCTCCCTGAGATCTGCTTGCTGGCCACGGTGGTTTGAGGGGCTGTTTATTTTTTCCTGGCCCTCTTGCCAAACTGCCTGTGCCTCTTCCTTTTCCCAACGCATGATGGATGCCCTTAGTGGCCCTGTGTGAGGTTCTGCTGCTGTTCACAGTGTATCATGTGTCTGCATAAACAGCCGTGTGTGTGTATGTGTGTGTGCGTTGCTGTGCCCATGTCGTCCGTCTGCGGGCTCCTCCATCCTTTGAGTTCTTTTCAGTTCCCTTATGATTTGACTGCTGTTCTCCCATCAGAGCTTTTAGATTGATGCTGTGGTCTGGTGCTGTTTAAATATTTTTCCTTTTGATTTTGTTTTAACTTCTTCCTTGCCCTTCTTCACCCTCAACCCAACTCTCCCTACCCCCCACACTCCCTCCTCTTCCCTCCCTGCCCACACTCTCCTGTCCTCTCTCTCTCTCTCTCTCTACATATATAAATATATATATATATAAAAATCTTTTCTTCTTTTGTCATTCAATCAAATTCCAACAACCCAACCAGGGCCAGTCAAATCCACCACAGTCTCGCGCTGAGCTAGGAATAAAGTTCACGTAATCACATGAGAGTGGAGAAAAGTCCCCCATCCGTAAGTTCAAATCAACTCAAAGTTCACAGTGTGACATGATGGCGTCATGTAACAAGGCTAAGAATCGGTTGCATGACAATTGCCGTCAAGTTTCGTGGAGGTGCTGTGATTGGAGCGTTTTTCTTGGATGTCGTATCCGTGGATGATTGGCCAGTCATGATCACACGTGCATTTTCTTGACTTTTGTGCTGCCACGATCTTTTTTGCTGTGCTCATTTTCGTTTCGTTCTTGGTGCTTGCAGTGGTTTTACTTTCTGTTGTTTGGTTTTTCTTGTTCAGCGTTTTTTTATGCTTCTCTAGATGTCACATAGAGAAAAAAAAAACTAAAGAAAAAAATTTAGTAAAAATAAAGATGAATTCCTGAATTATCAAACATGGGATCATTTAACTATGCAAACCATTATTTTTTTTCTTAAAAATAAGGAAAACATCTTAAAAATATCTATGCGTGGTTGATTTACTTGCACTTGAAAATATTGTGATTTTATTTTTTTCTAGAAATTTGGGGGCCTTTTTCAATTGACACTTTCCTAGGTCTGGTCTTTTTCCAGTTAGGCTATTTTAAATCTCACCTCAAAAGGAAAAACCAAAACCCAAACCAAAATATCTAATATCTATAGTAACAAAATGATTTAAAAAAAATTCTAAACCAAAAAAAAAAAAAAACTAGAGTACAAAGCCAGAGGCCTCTGAGAGAGAGCCCAGTAACAATTATAAGGTTTGTATTATAGCTGCTCCTGCTAAATTCAATGTGGGGAGGGGAGCGGGGGACTGGGGGCTTGGGAGGGCTTTTTTGGTTGGTTTGGAAGAAACAGTACTGACAAAAGCAAAATGCACCTTTTTGTTTACAACTGAAAAAGGGTCCTTGACAAGTGTTTTTTAATTTTATTATTATTTTATTTGGTGTTGTAATTGTTTAGACTGCTGTGTACGGTTTGCTGTTTGTTGAATCAACAGTGTGAAAAACCTGCCAGCATGGATTGATATACGCATGACGTTGTCCCCTGGACTGGGGGCTTTGCAGTTCTAACTTTCTTGATGTAACCAGTCACCCCCATGTATAAGTGGAAGCTGCTTGCTAGAATGGAGATGAGTCTCATTTGTTAATTCACAACGATAAGCATTTGCCTTCTGATTCTAGTCAGATCATGATTTTTTTTTCTTAAAAGCAAAACACCAAAAAGCCACCATTTGAAACAAAATCAAGAACTGTCTGAGTTAATTTACTTAAGTTTTATAATTAAATCTGTTCTGACCTTTTTTTAGGTTCTCCCATCCATTCCCTGGAAGTTCTGAATTTCCTCTAAATTCCCTGGCATGTATGAGAAAAGTATTATGTATGTGTGTATATGTGCATATACATACACACATATCCATGTATGTCCACATATGTGCAGGTGAATATATTCTACACATATATCCAGATATACATATATATATACACAGCCTCGCAAATAGTTACTGATCTGGGGAAAGAAGTGGTTGGCTGGAAACTGGGCAAGGATTTTACAAAATTTGAGTCTTGGCTCTGTCTTCCTTCTTTTCTTTAAGCTGGGGAGGAGTTGGCTAGGTTGTTCAATTCTTGCTTTCTGGTTTGCTAGGCTTCTGTATACATATTGTATCTGGGCTGGATCCCTCAGGGACAAGTTTAATTATGATCACATCCCACTGTCCCAAATTCTTCCCTTAGATATAGCCATCCCTCAATCCAGTACTCTAAAGGAACCCAAATCAAGAACTCTCTCCCCACATCTAAACCTCAGCTACAACCATCGCCACTAGACCGCCAAGTGGTTTCTTACTCTGAATAGAAGAGCAAATTTCTTTTGACTGTATCATGATCATGACTAATTCTCATACTGGTCTCTCTTCCTTCCCTCCTGCCATCCCCCAGAGTTCCCATCCTACCCCAAGGCAGGTTCCTATTGGTGTTTGGATGCATTTTGTGTTTTCCCTCATGGCTTAATCAGCCCCGATTTTCTTCATTTTAGGGCAGGATGCTGAACGGGCTACATTAAAAAACAAACCTCTCTCTCTCTCTATTTATAAATGAGAACTGTTGGATGACACCTTTGACATATCAGCCAATATCAATCAAGCTGAAGACTCCAGACACTCTGAGACTGTAACATTTTCTTCAAGGAAAGTATAACGTCTATGGAGTTCAGAGGGAACGTGTTTGGGGGAAAAATATACATGACATAAAGAAGACGACAATGAAGAAAAATGAGGAAAAACATATACACATAAAAAAAAAGGCAACTTTAAAACAAAATAACATGAGACCAGACGGGGAGGCTGAAGGGCTGGGCACTGGGAGAAGACGCTGCTGCTTACCGATCCTGGGGCTTTTCCAGCCCATGGGCGCCTGAGGCAGGCGGGGGCAAGCGTGTGGCGGTGGGGGCCTGGTCCCCAGGGGGCGGCTGGGAGGCCGCCACTGAGCATCTCTATCTGTCATTCCTTTAGCTATTTAGGGACCAAAGGACCAAACTTTTTATTGCAGATGTGTAGCTCTATGTCAAATAGAGGAGGAATGGAGGACTACCTCCTTCCTGCCTCCTGGCTGTTCTTGAAACAGCTTAGAGCGATTCTATGAAAAGCGTAATAAAAAATTAAAAAAAAAATACAAAAAATACAAAAAAATGAAAAAAAAATAATGCTTCAATGCTTTTAAAACAGCAAGATAATAGTTCTTTGATACTTTGAGAGGCGCTTTGATTACCCTCATTGAAGTCTATGAAACTTTCCTATGGTTTTCTGTATTATATGTCTGGATGGAGCTGTTAAGATGCACAGATTGGTGGATATTTGGGGAAAGCAACAAAAGTATGAAAACTTATTAACCGTGAAGTGAGGAAAACAAGGAGGGGAACAAAGGATCTTCCAAGACAAGGTAATTGTTGTGAAAAGTCTGTAAATGCTTCTAACTCTTCCCCCTCTTAAAAATCATAATAGTTGTACAGAATTTTAAAAAGGAAAAGTTTAAAATACCTATATAATAGAAGAAAAAAATTAGAGGAAAGCAAAAAATAAAAATAAAAAAATAAAAAAAGGAAAAAAAAAACTATAGAAGTTAGCGTTACTGCTAAAATCCCAGATGTTGTAGGACTGTACTTTTTGTAGAGTTTAGACTGAGCATCAATCCCTTCTCCCCGCGAGTGCTGTCGGACGCCGTTGTCCCCGAGGGCCAGGCCGGACTCTCCCAGACCTGCGGGCTCCCGGCCGCCCGTCGCGGTGGAGGCCGTGC